GGCTTTTCACTAGCGTGCTGTGTGGGTGGGGACCTTCGCATCCACTTCCCAGCTCCTTCCCCAGATAATCTATATTGATATGGTCCCTGTTCTCAGCTGTGAGGCCTAGTGAGATCTTGGAAGTGAGGCTGTCAAAAGAATAAAGCCTGTAAGATGGCCGGTCACTCCCAAAGCAAATGAGGTCACCAATGGAGCTCTGATGGGAAAAACGAAGAAACTTGTTATGAGTCTATCCTCCCCTACACAGAGAAACTCAGAATCGGTAAAAAGATCTATCCGGCATCATTTCTAACCACTGATCCAAAATAGTTTTCACAAAATTCAGTCTGCTAGATTCCAGGATGTTGTTTAGGAGTTTGTAGAAAACCGGTGAGAAGATTTCCAAGAAAACACACGATCTCATTGACATCCAGTGGACAGATGTAACATAGCACAGTTAGAAGAGGGACAGAGGAGTGAGAAATAACAGAACCAGGAGGGTACAATCATGCCACCCATATTCAATTTCCAGTTTTATTTTCTTAAAATGACAAAATGATAAAACTTCTAATAAGCACCATTGAGAAACACTGCCCGGCCAACTTGGGCACAAGCTTAAATAGTATTTAAATAATTCCATTTCTTAAAAAATACAGGACCTTTTAGAAACTTTGGACTCAAGGAAGAAATCTCCCGCATCCTATCCAAAATGCTTCCCATCGCGATAAATGGAATTTCTGATGGCCTTTAAAAACAAACAAACAAACAAAAAAATGCTATGGGGATAATGGCCAGATAGCACCAAGAGATTGGGCAGGGGTCCACAGAGTGAACACTCCAGATTTCAGGGGAGCTGGATCAGTCTCAGCTATTTGGTGTAACTTTGCTTTCTGTCCATCACCAATCTGATGGTAGAGAGTGATCCCATTTGACCAGCTGTGTGTAAAATCACCCAATCGGCAATGGAAAAGCCAGTAGCAGCAAATCTATCTGATGAAACCAGTGGAGCAGACTTATCGCGTGAGTCAAACGCCAAAACCAGCACATAATGCACGCAGTCAATTATGTGTGGAAAAGTATCAATGTTCAACTGTGAAAAACTAAGACAAAACGACACTGAACACAACTCCGCGGGATGTTCTGAATGCCCTCAGGTCCAGTTTTGTGCCATTTCCCCCGACAAACAGTGGACTCACACGTGAAAAATGACACACGCAAGAGCTCTCTCTTTGATTCTGATCTATGTCTGCTCTTGTGATGTTTTTGAAAGGTATTTTTAGGCATCTCAAAGGGGAAACAAGCAAGTAAATGCAAAGGGGGGAAAAAAATGGACCTTCAAAACCAGGGCAGGAAATCAAATCATTACTTTAACGTCAAATTTTGGCATCAAATGCTTTGGTCATACAATACTGTCTCTGTGTTTCTGGCTGTTTAGCACTAAACACCCAGTTATAAAAGGTAGGCTTGTTGTAGGTTTATTTTTTTTTTTTTCCATTTAAGTTCTGACAAAACAGTTCACCATCTCCCTGCACAAATTTGAGAGAGAGAGAAAAAGAGAGCAAAAAAGAGAGAGGTGGCTTGCTTTTTTTTTTTTTTTTTGTTTTTTTTTTTTTTCTTTTTAATAATAATATGGAGTAATCTAGAAGTCTACAGGAACAAAGAAATCTAGGATCGCAGCTCAGCCTTGGAATGTACATGTTTTGCAGCAAAGTTGTTGAAGAACCTTCCGTTGGCACAGATTGTTCTTTTTCACTAGCATACAGAAGCCTCCTTCGGCCCAGGATTCTTCCGTGGCTTTTCCAGGAAGTCAGCAAGACAGAGGGGGGAGTTGAGGACGAGAGCAGCATGATGTACACACGGAAGAAGGTTGTGATTGGCCAGAGAGGCAGATTGGGGGAGTGGAAGAGATCATTGAGGAACAGTCACCAAGGAGGAAATTTGGTCCACTCAAAGTGATTTCAGTCAACACCATTGTTTTTCAAGAAGAGAGATGGCAGTCCAATGGTAAATGTGATTGGTGTCATTTATGAAAGGAAAAAAAAAAAGGTTAGAAAAAAGAATAAATTAGAAATCAATAATAACATAAGCATGGAAGTTTTCTTCTCCGAATTACCCAGAGCAGAGAGTATACAGCCATTTATATTATATTTCATTGAATCCAAGACCCTGGATGTAAGATGCACCACCATGTTAAGCTCTGCCCAGAAAAAACATGCTTCTTTCTTACATTCTCATCAATATTAGAATATTAATTTTGTCCTTCTTGAAATGTCCGTTAAATATTAGTTATATAACTATGGTGTTATTTTTTAGCTCAAGGTTAAATATTCGTTATATAACTATGCTGTTGTGTTTCTCTGCTTATGGCAAAAACTCTTCCTTTGATAGTAAACACTCGTTTAATTTTTCGAAGCGCTTCTGAACTCCCATTAAATTCAACACAAGAAGCAGCAACCGCACACCTGACTCAGTCAGCTAGACATCACTGTGACTAAGTCAAAGGCATAAAGAATAAGATGCATCTGATTTCAGAGATGTTACAATGTAAAAAAAAAAAAAAAGTGTGTCTTAGAATCATTGAAATATGACAGGTGAGAGAGACTAAATCACGAATCCCTACATGCAATCGCCATGTGATTTGAAAAGCCCGGTGAGCCATCAGTGATCTCATTATTTCTCATTATTTAGCTGATCTGAAAGTGGACGCCTTGCAAACCATGGTTCTTCATTTTCTACTCTTGCCCACGATCCTGACACTCCACTCCTACCAAAGTGCCAGTTGGCAGAACTCATCCCCACGTTTACCGTGGTTTAAAGAAGGCAGGAAAAGCATCGCAGACGTGGCCATGCCTGGTACCAAATGCTACAGGTGAAAATTTCAAGCGACTGTGGATCTTCCTCTGTTTTCTGTTACTAACTTAAAAATTCCGGTCACATCCAGGTAGAAGGGAACCATGGTTTTAAGCAAAAAGTGATACTTACATGGTCCCTGGGATGCCCTCACCCCAACCCTCTGTCCCCGTGTTGTGTGGTGAGAACACAGAGCCTGACTGGGTCTGTCCCAGCTGGACCCATCCTATAGTCAAAAAGCTATGAAGACACAAAGTCACCTATCATGCTCTGAGGAAATGAGACCATCAATCGTGTTCTATAGGTGCCATCAGCTGCCTGGTTCTTTTTGACATCTTTTTGAAATTCCTAATGGGAAGTTTTAGAATAACCAGACAAGGTCAATAGTATTAGCCTCCTCATGTTTACAGATGAGGGAAGTGAGGCCCAGAGAAATTCATCACCTGCCCAAGATCTGCAGCCCAAGAAATGAACGACAGTATTCTGATTTCTGAATCCACATTCTCCCAACCAGAGCACTGTTGTACCTGTTGTGAAATTTCTAGAAGAGCGCCCATTCAGATAGTAAACCAAGGGAAGTGTTCTTGTCCGGGAAGACTGTTCCAAATGCATACTTTAAAATTTTATTTTTCTATTTTCATAACAATCTATAGATGTTTAAAAATAACGATGGTTCAAAATGCTTTCTATGTCATTGAGATGCGTGTCTGCAAAAAACGTCAGGCTCCAATGTTAGGGCGCCCTCCATGTGAATTACACGGAGTCAAAGTTCACAAAATGCTGAAGTTGGAATAACTTACATTTCTTCATTTATAAATGGGGAAACTGAGGCTAGAAATAGGAGAGGGCTTGGCATTTGTCACGTTGTCAGGGGGAATGGAACAGCAAAACGTTCCCAAACCTGGCTGCACATTAGAAACACTTGAGAAGCTTCTAAAAATATCCATGCCTAGACAGCACCCCAAAACCAAAACCAAAACCAATTTACTGTGACTCTTTGGAGAAGGTGTGCGGTCCCAGCATTTTGGTTGAGAAGCGTGTGTGCAGAGAGAAGAAAAATGAGCCAACATTTAGAAGTCTTAAGTTCTCTACCTGGCTCTATAATTAATTCCTTACCCCACAGGCTTCATGAAGTATTCAGATACCGTTTGATTGTTACGTATCAAAATTTTAAATGATCCAAATAAAGGGAATGGCAATCAAGCGGCATCGTCCCGTGATAGAATTTTATGCTGTCGTTAAAACTGAAGTGTCAGAGAACTTTGTAAAAACAAAGGATAATGCTTAGTATCAAACGCAGGCTACAAATCTTCATATACATGGTATTAAAAAAATCTGATCAAAAGCACATACGGTGGAAGGTGGGAAATAAATACATGAAGAAACGAGTTGAGAAAGGTTGCATATTCCAACTATATGATATGCTGGAAAAGGTAAATCTATGGAGACGGTAAGAAAAAACTAGTAGGTTCTGGGGGGGAGGAGGAGGGATGAAGGGAGGGAAAGGCAGAGCCCAGTGGATTTTTGGGGCAGTGAAAGTGTCCTGTATGCCACTCTAATGGTGGATTCACGTCCTTATACAGTTGTCCAAACTCCTAGAATGTACAACACCAAGAGTGAGCCCTAATGTCAACTAAGGACTTTGGGTGATCCCCAAAGTATATCTTTCGGGTATCGCTTTGGGTGATAATGGTGTGTGAATGAAGGTTCATTGATTATAACAAAGGTTACCACTCTGGTAGAGAAGGCTAATGGTGGGCAAGGGGGTGTGTGTGTGTGTATGTCACGGGGCGGGGGGGTAGTCAGGGCATGTATGGGATCTCTCTGTACTTCCCGCTTAATTTTGCTGTGAACCTACAACTCTAAAATGTAAAAAAAAAAAAAACAACAAAAAAAAAAACCCCACAAAGTTTGCTAATTGAAAAGAGCTAACTGTGCCCTCTTGGCCAGTAGAACTATACAGGTGATTCATTTCTTCTTTTAATTGAAAGAAATGAACCAAAACCCAAACCCACTGTAGGTGTGAGTTCAAGACAGATGAATGCCAACAAGATATTGGGCCTGTTCATCTAACTCACGCTTGGTAGTTTCTTTGAGTGGAAAGGTATTAGATATCAATATTAAAAGGTGACCCTTTGCTCAGAGGATCAAAATGAGCAGGCTGTACTCACCGTCCTTGCAGATGGCTCCCATCTGACACGTCCCTAGGTCTAAGAGATACCCACTGGGGCAGCTCGTACAGTTCTTGAACCCCGGACCATTGCATGTCAGACAGCTGGCATCACATCTGTGGGGAAAACGTAGAATTCATCGTCCTTTCACACATTGGGTACAAGAAAAGATGTCAGCTATCAACCTCTCAATGAAGTTTAAAAATTTTTTAAAAATATTTTTGAGAGAGAGAGAGAAGGCACAAGTGAGTGACAGGTGGAGAGAGAGAATCCTAGGAGGGGCAGAGAGAGACAGAGAAGTGGGGCTCCCCCAAAGTGGGGCTCGAGCTCACCTGACATGGGGCTCAAACTCGTGAACCATGAGATCACGACCTGAGCCCAAGTCAGATGCTTACTGACTGAGCCACCCAGGTGCCCTAGGGTGTGTGATTTTAAATGGAAGGACGCCCGTACTTGGAACAGAAATACTACCTTAAAGGTTTTAAGCGCTCCTGCGAGAAAAACAAAGAATGTTAAATGGAAGCTGGGTTAAAGCCGCAGGGCACTGTCCACAGGTAGATGTTGGAACCTTCGTTCACGGTTAGTAATTCTGTTTCGTATTATTTATGGAGGGGGTCAAATAAGGACCCAGGGACCGAGGGCTCGGACTGAAGGGGGCGGGCCCACTTACTTCTTGCAGGATTTGTATCCGTGCTCTGAAGAGTGGTCCAAGTAATAGCTGGTGCTACAGGCCTGCACGCATCTCCCGTCCTCCATGAAGTAGCCCTCGGTGCAGTTAATACACCCGGTAGCGCCCGCCCCTGAAAAGCCAGACGAACGCGGCGAACAGAAACAAAACGTGTACTTTTCGTTTGTAGTTGCTCGGTTACAAATGGAACTGTGGCGCTTTGCCTTGCATTCTTTGGGGGGGGGGGGGAACCACTCCCATTTCAAACCGAAATGAAACGCTTCCATTTGCCCAAACCCTCCAACGGCTTTGAAAAGAGGAGGGGATCTCCCTGGGATATATTTAAGTGTCTCCAGGAGGGCGGAAGGAAGATGAGAACTTGCCGTGACAATATATGCAGGCGTGCTGGAAGAGAACACGCTTCTCCAGCGTTTGCTTTACGGCCAGCCAGTGGGCGTGTATGAGTGATGGCTGAGAACAAATCAGTAAGAGCTCAACCAGAGCCCGAGGAGTGAACGAAAAGCCGGGGGGGGGGGGGGGGGGGGC